ACACTTTTTTGGTTCACTATATCCACTAAAAATAACATTATATGTGTATAGCAAGACACGGGACCGAGCATTTCGCTCACTATATCCGGGAGTTCACTATAGCGGGGTTTGACTGTATAAGCACTTAAATTTTGCGAAGTAAAAAATATGTATATAAATCTTAATTTAAAGATCTTTTTAAACCATTATTTATAATAACTTAAACTATAAAAGGGTGCGTAGCCAAATTATTCAACAAAAAATAAGCATCTTTTAAGCACTTAAAAAAATATCATAATTAGGCAGGGTAGGAAAGTTTTCGACAATTAACGGTTTTATCTTGTTTTAACCATGTCAAAAAAAAAAAAAAAACCTTTTGCCATTATTTTTGACAATTGTCAAAAATCATGAAATTATGAATCATGTAAAACGAATGGCGTTTTCCTACGCTATGGACTGACAATACGCAGAAACAGATTGCGGTTGAATTAATTGTGAAAACATTGAATATAACGAACTGTCTTTTTGCATAATTTAACGCAAAAATAAACATAGTAAAGGAAAATCTCATTTTGAAAACGGGAAAATTAAGCACTTAAAAACACCCAATGAATAAAGCACCTATAAGAGCTTTTAAAAAACGAAAATAAGCACCTTTAAGCACTTTTTAAAAACGTTACGCACCCTGTATAAACACTCAACATACTGCAGTACTGCTAATAGCACCATCAGTTGAAGAATAAGAGAAGTATTTTTGCCCTCCGCGGATATTTTATCGCCTAATTTGTTTTTTTAAATTTTTTTTCCAACAAATATGGAGAAATTTAAGACAGGTCAACAGGAGATAGTTGTCTTCTTCTTCCTTATCCCCAAAATTAGCAGGGCTAAACTATGTCCATGAAATTCATCACCCGGAGGAAGTCGGCCACCATAAGTGTGTTATTAAGAATGTCCAGACCAAGACAGTCTAGGATATGTTGCGGGGAAGCCTGCATGTTGTGGCACCTGGGGCAGATTTTAATACTACCCTCAAAAGAAAGGGACTTAAGGTGGCCGCTGATAAGCCTGGTAAGTGCATCTCCTGGACTGGTGCTCTGGTACCAGTGATGTTTGGGGGGTACGAGCCAGGAAGCGAGGTCTTTTTTCTTTTTTGATGCCAGCTCCATGAAGGTGAGGGAATTTAGACTTATCAGATTTTCTTTCGTCCCCTCCTTAGCCAGAGTGTCGACGATGTCATTGCCCAGAACCCCAACGTGATGTTCTGTTTTGGTGTCCAAGGCTAGAGAGGGAGACTTGGCAGGTATGTCATTGCAACTACTTAATTGCACATCACTCTGTATTGTACTCCCTATCATTCAAGCAATATTGTTTGAGTACAAAAAAATATTGCAAATTGCAGCAACTAAATCATGGACAAAACCACACTCTTATAAAGAGTTGTGAAATTAACTGAATTGAAATGGTTTTTATGTCAAAAAAAAATGAGTACTTTTAAATATACTAAGTTAAAAATACTTAAATTTTTCAAATTACATCATGTGATAACACAATTAGTTCTTTTTTTTTAAATTTTAATGTATATGATTAAGACTACCTTAAAGGTGGAACAGGGATCAGTTCTTTGCAAAATATCAGATTGCATCATTTGCTTTTATTTTTAACAATTTCTCATTCTGAAATTATACTTTTATTCAATTCCTTCAAATTTTTGTTCTAAGCATTGGTTATGAGTAGACATTTTCGTTGAAAAAACATATACACTACTAAAACCTATAAGTCAAAGCATAAATAAAGTCAATAATGTGAATACCACGCATTTTATCACCACAATAAAGCACCACCAACACTTCACAAAAAGAATAAAATTTTCAAACAAGAAAAATATTATTAATTTATTGAAACCTTTGAAAGGAAACTTACAAAGGTAATATATGCGTACAGAAGACTTATTTCCACATGATCATGCAATATGCACTTCTAATTCTCAATTATGAAAAGCAACCCATTTTTTAAATATAAGGTTACACTTACGACCACCTGTGAAAAAAAAGGTTGTCCTGTCATTCTTTCTACATTAATAGAAAATTTAGGGTGTTTCATATTTATTGAGCAGTAACATGAAACAAAATAATGATTTGAATCATTTCCTCCAGCCTTAAGCTATTCATTGACTTATTGTCAATAAAAAACCGCTTTGTTTTTAAAGCGCAAAACTGTCTTGTTTTCAAAGTGATTTTCTAGGCATTTAATCAACAAAATTTTGATCACTATACTGAAATGAACAGTTCAATTCGACGTTCTAATGGAAGGGTTACAGTAATGAATCAATTTGTTAACAGTTCCTTAATTACAACACAAGCTATATTAGCAATAAAAGATGTTTATTTCATTAAAATTAGAACACAAGTCATTACAGATTTCTTTTTGAAAAGTTCATAACTTGAAATTTTTTAAAAGTAACTAAGGACATTCATTTGGAAACTAGTAACACTGAATTTCACTATTTTGGCACAAACTTAATAGACAGCACACATAATCCCTTGCAAGGTTTAGTTCCAAAATTGTATACACAATGCATTTAATTGTTATTAACAAAACATTCTGAATGTGATTTTATACATATTCCTTATAATAAAGTAATGAAGGAAGCACATAAATAAATTTTTAATCTAAATTTACTGATGACAACAATTTCATTGAGACAGATGGTGATTAAGGAAAAATAACTTTTCATAAATTAACAAAATAAAACTTTCAGTGGTAAAAAGAAAAACCCTTTTAACAGAGAACATATTTCAATGCACAATGAGAAATATAAATCAAAAATTATAGGTTGAATTAGAGTATGAATTGAATACTAAATTTTGGTTGGATGTTTTTTTTTTTTAATAAAATTTTTTAACTATAGCCTAATGAAGAATTTCAGTCTGAAAATTAAAATACATTACAGAAATAGTGTGTACTGACTTTTTCTTTATTGTAAGTATTGAGTGGAATTTTCGCAACATGAAAAAATTTCCTTTGGAACATCAAACAGAAGTTTTATTAGCATTGAAGATATAAATAAAAGTGATTCTGTATTATACCACGCAAAAAACTAGAAAAAGTAATGCAGAAATTAAATATTGTCAAAATTTTTTTTGAAAGCAATGGGTAAAAATGCTTCAGCAAGTGACTAATCCTACTGGGCATTAAGGGCAAAGTTTGGTTAAATTTTTCACAGAAATAATCTAAAAACTCAAATATTTTTTCTGCTTTACTTCCTTTGCTGAAGTTTGTTTGTTAAAAGGGGGATTTCTTAAAACTTTCAGTCTGATTTTCAATTGCTTTCAAAGAGCTTGAAATAATTTCTTAAATTTAAATCTACCGAGTTAAAATGTGCATTAAAAGAAAAATAATAAAATTAATTCACATCATATGAGAAAAGATACAAAGTAGATCAATTTAATTTAGGACCAGAGAGAACATCTAAAATAAAGAAATGATACTCAACTTAAACATCTGTAAAAAGCTTCCTGACTTTACACAGGTGTGATAACTACTTTTGACCACATAAATTCGGAATTCAGATAAACTTGAAAACAGTAAAACTTCCAAGATATTTTCAGAGCGGTGATAAGTATAAAAAGAAATTATTTAAAAGTAGCTAAGCATAACTGTTATCAGTAGTAATAAGTATTAAAAAAAAAAAAAAAAAAAGAAACATTTAGAATACTTTCATATACTACTTTCTTATTCTACAGAGATTTCTAATTCAGATTATTTCTTTTATGAAGGAACATTTATATAAAGCATATTCAAAATGGTAATACAAGAAAAAAAATTAGACAAATTGTTAACAAAAATGTTTTTCAAAATAATTATTTGCATTGTATAATACAGCAGTAGTAATAGATTAATTTTCTTCATTGATTTTACAGTACACAAACTAAAAGAGTGAATTTCTTCATACATCTTTTAATCATAAAAATTTCAAAATGAAAAAAAAAAATAAAAACTTTTAGCATCATTTATTTACTTTAGATTTAGGAAAAAATATTACACACATGACTTATATTTTTAAGTTTGCTAAAAAAAGGTAGAAATATTTGAAAATTGGTCTAAGAACAGTAAATGAACAAATTCATTATTTCAATCACCCAAGTTGACAAGACAAATATTAAGATGAATTTCAAATATCATACTATAATACTTCAAAAATTGTTCGGTCGACACTTTTAAAAAGGACAAACCGTTGAAATTTTCTACAAAAGTATTGAATAATGTATCAAGCAAACTTTTTAAATACACCACATTTACACAAATGATCAGCAAAACAAATATTCAGTACTAACTTAAAAGCAAATATGCAACTTAATTAAAATTAAAACTGCAATTTTTTAAAACTAAGTTTCAATACTTCACCATCAGTATGTGCCAAAAATATGTTCAATAAGCAATAAATTTTGGCTTTAAAACAAATAACTGCATTTACTAAAAAAATCTTCATAAAGTTTGTAAAAATCATGTATTGAAAAAAGGGGCCTGCTTTACACAGTTTTTAAACATAAACATGGTTTAAAAATTAATCTGCACAAAACTAAATAATAAAACGAATAACTGAACAGTAAACTATGATGGCATGGTTTAGAAAAAAAATGAGAACAAAATCCTTTGGTAACAAGTCTTTGATACAGTACAACTCTCCCTCACAACAGCCACAGATCTTGTTCCATGAAAACACATAACAGGACCTCATTAGTTCACATTCAAGGAACAGCAACAAAAGAGGAATGGCCCCTAACTAGCTAATTTATCTTTCACATTAGTAAAACAGCTGCAGTGGAAGACTTCTGCTAGTTAATTATTTTCCCTCAAGCATGGAAAAATAATGAGAAATGACAAAAACAAATGAAGAAAGCCATAAACACAAGTTTTGATCACAAGTTCAGATTTTGCTTTAAACAGAAGAATATATGACTTCTCTCTTCTGATACTGAGGTCCTCTGCTACTGAAACTCATTCTTAGAATAAAATGCATTTAGCTTTCTTTTTCCTCTTGACCTGAAAAAAAACAGGAAATAATTTTTACACAAAATTGAACATTTAAAGAAAATTGGAGACACTAAATTGTAATCATTAAAAAAAAATAGTTTGGACATTTATTAAAAATTACAATTTATAATTAATATCTGGGCAACAGAATAACTAGACAATAGTTAAAAATTACAAAAAAAAAAGACAATAAACAACAATACTTTCTGAACAACCCAAGAGCGCATTAAAAATTTTGAAAAATATAGGAATCTCCAATATAAGACATTGGATGCAGAATATTTTGTAAAGAGTTTTAATAAGGGTAAGTATTTTCTTCAAAAAATCGTTACTACAGTACAGAACCCGTTATCCGGAAATCAGAAAACCAAAAAACCGGAACGAAATTCGATAAATTTTCCCGCCATTTAAAAAAAAAACATTTTTTTTTTCCTCATGAGATTTTTGGATTTTTCTTTCTTTTTTGAAAGATGTTCACCTTACCATCATTTTGGAAATAATCATTAGTGTATTACTTCATCGTTTTTTTTTCTTTTTAAGATTATTTCTAAAATTTTTTTTTTTTAGTTGGGTTTAACAATAAAAAAACGGTTTTTTGTAGCGATTCAGAAAACCGGAAAAATCAGTTATCCGGAATAGCAATGGTCCCGATCGTTCCGGATAATCGGTTCCCTACTGTACTAAAATTTTATAGCCAAATTTGTGGAGTTTTTTTTCTCAAGGGTTAATGTTTAGTATTTTTTTTACATTTCAAATTATGCCATAGTAATTGTTTTAGCAGAAATACCAATAATTGCATTGTTCACAATTTTGTTAAATGGATGGATCAATTAATAAAAAATCCTTGATACTTTTAAGTACCCTATTACTCTCAATGAGCCACCGAGAAAGCACAAAAATAAGAGAGGGAGGGGTTACCTGTTATTTTTTTCTATTATTATCACTGATTTTGTCAGTTTTTTGTTACCCCACTTTACTTTATTAGAATTTTTGTTATGAATTGTTTCCTATTAACAGAAATAATTTAAATTGTATGAAAAGTAACTTTTGGAAAAAACAAAAACAAAAAAAACAGAAGATTTTTGTTATTGATCTGAAGATTGTGAGATGAGTCCAAAATTAGGAAATCTTAAGCCAAAATCAGTTAAGTTGTTGGGTAAATCTCTCTAATATTAAAGACTGAAAGGAAAAGAGAAACATTGGGGGCAAACCAAACTTTAGGACAACATTTCTTAAAAAAAAAAAAAAAGTCAGGACATTTTTAGAACTGTAGACATGCAATGGATTACTTTAAAGAAAGACAAACTAAAAGATGTATAATTTGCTCCATTTAAGTATAATAAAGGTATGTTTTAGCAAAAAAAATTAATTAAATATACTATTTTCAATTTCAGAATTACTTAATTGAAAAAAGTTTTAAGTTTCCAGTACATTTTTATTAATGGCGCACTGAACAACTAATTTAAGTTTGAGAAATAGAATTTTTTTTTATCTTGCCGCTGCATTAAAAAAAAAGCAAATAACTGGCATTAATTATTTAATATTTCAAATATTATACCATAACACATTACAATATTAAACTATAATACCAAAATTTACTTAAATTTGTAATCAAGTTGAAGACTTCTTAATAGTAGGATTTCAATAATCTTGAAATACAGTAAATATGCAGCTTAAGATTTGTGCAATAATAATAATAATCATCTACTGAATTTTCTCTCAATTCACCAATTAAAAATACGATATAATTACAGCATTGTTAATTGGAATTTATCATTTTAAAAATCAGATGAAAGATACTGACTTTGCGGTACCTCAAAATAAAAATCAGAGCATTTTACAAAATAAATCAGAACATTTTTTGGAGCAATACATACACACCAAATTATTTTTAAAAGGAAACAAAAGGCTAAAAAAATAATAATAATAATAATAAAATAAATACTAATCCACTGATTTGAAAATTTTGTATTGTACAGCTCCTCTAATTCTCCAAGACATAAAAAAAAATAATAAAACATAGGCAGCAAATCAATGTTTTTAAAATAAAAAATTAAGTCAGGAATGAGTTTAAAAAACATTGCGATTTGGCAAAAGCGACCTGACCTTTCTTGACTTCCAACTCACATTTTCACAAAACTTAGATAACCATAATTAACAATAATGAGATAATGTTAAACAAGTGAGAACTTCACACATTTTGTTTTGAAAGACAGTGTAATTCCATCACTTACACATTTATTTATATGGAAGCGTTATTTAATAAAATATTTACCTGCAAAGCTGCTCGAGTTGCTGTTTCAAAGACATCTCGTACACCTTCCTTCGTCTTTGCTGAACACTCCAGGTAACCATAAGCATTTATTTTTTCTGCCATTGAGCGTCCTTCTTCAGGAGTCACCGGTTTTTGTTTCATTTTTGCTAATTCACATATTGTGTGCGAATCATTCCTCAAATCCTGAATAAAAGAGGTGGAAAAAATTTATACTCAACATTTCAAATGTTAATGCAGAGACATATGCTTTTATTACATTTGATAAACAATGACCATTGATTTGATGAGTTTGACAGTTACATTATAGACCTTACACAGAAAAACTGCTTAATGTAGGGGTGAACAACAGTTAGACTAGCAAAAGGCCTCAACGCCTATTTACACATGTTGATGGCAATTCCGATGGTTATTATACAAATATTAGTGTTCTAAGTACTAAATTTTTTATTATTAAACTTAATATATTTTCAGAAAATCAAATACTTTTTTAATTATTGGAATTCATTCAAAAATGAACAAACTGATATTTTTTTTAAAGAAAAGTTTCTTTTTTATCATGTCTAATTCTAGCAATAAAAGCTCAAAGAAGGAAAGTATGAAAAAATAGATAAATACATATTTTGAAGAAAATTTATAGGATTTAAACAAAATCATTATACCAAATACTTTTCAATATTTATTTGGTATTATACTTCAGATATTATTTTTACTTCTTGAATTATTAGAGATGTTATAAATTTTGAATAGAATTTTTTTTTCACATTTTCCTAAAAAAGTCACCCAAGCTACAAAAAATTTAAAACAAAATTACAAATAGTGAGCAGTTTAAAAATTCCTGTTTTCCTCCTTTTCTTGAATTTCTCATGGTGCAATAACACTGTATCAAAATATAGAAATTTTAAATACCATGTGGAAATGAACGGCACTAACTGCTGAAAAATTAATAGAAAATAGCTTGGATTTATGATGAAATGCGCAAAGAATAAATTACACCAAATGTTAAAGTGATTATTTAAAACTGCGAGTCGTAATATCATAGTTAAAATAACAGGATTGTGAAAAATCACGTGGAAAAAAATCGCAACAAAAAAATTAATAAATTGCTTATATTTACAATGAAATTAGCATGAATAAAGGTTGTCAATAAGTAATTATTTAAATGCATAATTTATAATTTGCGTGTCAATAAAAACTGAATTTTGAAAATCATGTGGAAAAGTATACAAATAACCGAAGTCTGATTCAATCTGAGTGTTTGAATTTGTATTTAATGAAATTAAATAATTATTCAAACCTGTGTTTGCGGAGTCAGTAGGGAAAAATAGACTCAGACTCCCTCATATATATGTAAACATATACAGTGAAATCTCCAGGAAAGACCACCTCTGCGTAGCGACCTCCTTTATTTACGACCACTTTCAGGAGGCAATGAATATTTTCCATAGACTTTGTGTTGAAGAAAACCTTTAGGAGAGACCAGCAAAACCTCTCCCAACGACTGGGCAAACCTCCGCACCAAATGTGGAAAAGGTAAAATAAGGAAACACGAAAAAATATCAAAATAAAAAATATTAACAAAACAAATAAGTAGATTCAAATGTATTCAAAATATCTGCAAGTGGCTCGTATTTAGAGAGGTTTTTTTGACAACCTCATGTTACACATTATGGACAGTCAGAGGTCACTAAAGACGATGCAATAAATTAATTTAGTTTTAAGAGTTAAATTAAAAAGTAATTTTAGAAAAAACTAAGCATCTGAAACAAACAAAGCTCCCCTTTTATAAAGTTAACTAATTTGCATGATATAAAATTACATGCAAATTTAAACAAAAAACATAATTGCTTATTTATTTAAAATAGTTCTATCATAATTGGTAAACTTGTTTTTATACATAATTATAGCAGTAGGGGACATTTTTATTAAAAGATCCGGTTTTTATGATGCCAAAATAAGTCGCATTTCTACACCAAGAGAATGACACTGAGTAAAATTAACATTGTTTCCAAAAAACCATGTACCTTTGATAACATTTTGAAGTCAATGGAGGTTACTTGTAAGAATAACTGACCAACCTCTATTTAAGACAATTCTATTGTGGAACAGAGTGGTTATTCCTGAGAAGATTCACTATATATGAGAGTCTTACATGGAAGTTTAGATTCATGGAACATGGAGTCTTACATGAGAATGTTACAGATTATTATTTTTTTTTTTAAATAAACAAAGTAACAGATGCTACAGAAAAAAATTTATGACATAGCAAATTATTTATATAAAATAGCAAATATTATGAAATGGAAAAATGGCAGTCGTAATTTCTAAGAAACACTTTAGCTTCAGCAAGATCTTCCTTGATAGAGGACTGTAGATCAGATTTGATTCACTTCAAAGCTGAGAATAGTCTTTCTGCACTCATTTGAGTAGAAGAAAGAACTGTTACTATAAGAATGACTTCTTTTAACTTTTCACATCATAATAAATATTAAAAATATAGATTACAAAAAAAATTTAAAACGCAGCATGGAATTAGTGCAAATCAACTGTGTCAAAAAGTAATTACTCAAATGTGCAATTCGAATTTCTTCACAATATCAGAGCTTATATAAACACAAGAACGTCAATAGCAATAATTGTGAAAAAATTCAATGAAAAAACAATGGTATAGTCGGGCCAAAAAGTGACTAATAAATATATGAATTTTTAAAATTCCTAGCATTTGTAGTCGATAAAATGATTTAATCACTGCATGAATGCTATGGTATGGTGGAGATTACTTACAATAGTATTCACGCTAAACGAGCTAATCGAAAAGCAATTGCTCAAATGTGAAATTCAAATTTGGTGTGTAGTAATAATATCGAAATTTTAAAATTCACCAGAAAATCAATTGCACGCCAAAAAGGAAAAAAAAGGATTGAAACACGAATTTACGACATCGAGCACTATGAAAAGCGATCGATGAAATGCGCAATTATAAATTTCCATGTGGTAAGATCACAGTAAAAATTTATTCAATCTATTTGTAGACAAATAAAAAAGGGGGCGAATATATCACATAGATTAAATAATTCTTGTGTTACAAATTGGAATTAGTGAAGTAAAACTGTTACAAAATATTAATTTGAAAAAAAAAAAAAATGTTTTTCACCAAGTAAATTTTTAAATGTTTGCCGTTTTGGTGCCTCATAGAGGAAGTCTATGGAAATTTTGATGGAATATAAATTGATTTGCAGATATCCACCAATTAATAATTTATATGATAAGACCACCGATTTGCGGAAGTCCATGGATCGACAGTCTTCAGATTCACGGAATCCCGCGAATTAACAGAAGAATTCCATGCTTAATTTAATAAAGTTTTTCAACGGGAAAATTTTTTTTCATCAACATTTTTACCTAATAAAATAATAGCAAATATTAAGCAAAACACATTTTTGGTTCTAGTTAAAATGTAAAATATCAAAATATCTCAATCAAGTGTCAAGACAGTTTCTTTTAACTAAAAAGTTAAAATATTAGAAGTTAAAATATCAGAAAGGGCCTATTTCTTTTTTTCATATTAAAATATTTAAACACGACAAAATTTTTCTACTTTTCAGTCCATAAGTGATTTCACAGTCTGAAATGAACTGATTAAAAATTAAAAAATATTCTTTCTAGTCTAGCTATGATCAGAAAATAACTATTAGATGTGATAATTTGGCTTCTAACTAATATTCTAAATTAGGGATCAGAATTTTCAATGCTTAGAAAAAAAAGCTTCTCTAAAACATTTCAACAGTGATAAGTGCATAACTTTGATATTTTCCCATGCTGACATTCTTCTATTCATGCTGAAAGAAATTTTATAAATATCAAAATGAAAACAAATTATTTCAAGTCACTACATAATCATAAGTAGAGTGATAAATCAGTGCATCGCGAAATATCGATTTAACACATATATCGGCTGGCTGGTATAATGACTTTCGTTACAGGCAATGCATCAGAAATCTGATTTAAGCAACCTGTATAAGATAACACTCGAGGTTAAACGGTATAACCATTTAACATGCGAGGATGTTGATAGCGTCTAGCTTAAAGTGACCACATTTTCATTGAGACAAAGCGGGACAAATGGGATGAAATGAGAATTACAATTTAGCTATATATATTTTATTGTATACTTGTACAAAAATGCATTTATTATTAATTATTGGTAACTATAAAAATATTTGTAAAAAATAATAATTTGAACATCATGATTTTTAAACAAATGAAATTTTTTATTTATAAAAAAATTATGATTTTCTTTTACAGTCATATTTTTTATCTGAGTGAATACTTTGCAACAGATTCGGATCATTTATTAAAATGTCGAGAAATATTTGACATGAATTGGTCAAATTATATTTTACACTTAAAATAGATTTTTAAAGTTCAACTGCGTTTTTTCAGTTGTGCATATTTTATAGATACTAGAAAAAACACGTTCTGTTGCTACATTTGTTCCTGGAAGAGAGAGCGCAAATTCTAAAATTTTCAAAATATTTTAAGAAGGAATATTATTTTGTTTAAAATGAAGGAATAACTCCGTCCATTTTTTGTCTGTTTCTAAGTTTGCAGATAATCAACATTTAATTTTTTCATCTGTAACATATCTTTTTACCAATGACACCTCATCAAAAAGATTATTTTCGCAAATATTATTTTTCGGAAAATGGTTACTAATATATTAAAGATTTTTCCACATATTCCCATAAAATCTCCTTTTTTAATGTCACCCAATGAAAATTTTTAATATCTTAGAACTGAACTGTCCATTCTTCAAGATATTCCAAGTGTTTATTATAAAACATGTTTCAGAAAATCAGGTCGTTTAATGGCACCTTGTTCTTCCAACCTAGTGATGTCTTTTTGAATAATTAAAGGAATGTAATCGATATCAATTCTTTCTCGTAATTTTGTTTTAAATTATTGATTCCATTTCACACTTCTGTAATTGAAATTTTGTCCCCTTCAATAATTTTCACAGCATTGTGAAATAATGTAGTTTGGTTGTGGATGAACTGAAGCCAAATTTGTGATGTGTCATTTTCAAAAAAGAGCTGCAATATTCGTGGACATTTATCTTGTGATAAAATATTTTTTGTCGTAAACTGTTTATATATATTTTGTGTCGTATACTGTTTTGATCGATTGCGACGTAGAATCCATTGATCTGAAACTTTGATTTTCAGATCAAGGTTTATGGTGTGGAAAGCAAATAGCCCTTCCGCTAATGCTAGCTGCTTTTCAGTGTTGCCAAAGCTAGCATTGCGAAAAAACTGTTCCATTTTAGACGAGGAAGCGGCATTAAAAAATCTTTTGTGCCTCTTTGTAGCTAGATGTTTAGTAATATCGTTTTTTCCACCATGTGAGACCAAAAATTCAGCATTGCATTTATCATACCGTACCATATAGTCCAGTTTCGTTTTTTTAATAAATGGAAATTCTCTGCGTAGCTCTTCATTAAATTTGCACTCTCTTTTTTACTCATCTTTTATTCTGTGGGTAAATACTAGAAATAAATAAAAAATTTACTACAAAGGCTAAAAAAGAGTATTAAATTTTACCTTATGTAACGTTACGTTGTGGCGACTGTTGCTCTACCACTACCTTCGTCAACCAAATAATGAGTCAAACTGAACGTCAAATTGAAAACAACAAACTGCACTTATCTGAATTAAGCCGAGACATAATGACAATGATCGAACACCACCGAGAAAATCTAACTCGATACAGTGCCTAATTTAGTTTACTCTGCATGCATTTTATGTTTTTTTTTAAATGTATTTATTTCTTTATATTCACCATAATACTTAATGAATAATAGGTAATCTATTTTTACAGTACAGTTAAAATAAGAAATGCAGATATTTTCTAAAAAGCGGGACATTTTTAAAAATCGGCGGGACAGTTCACCAAAAATTGGGACGTGTGGTCACTTTAGTCTAGCTATGAAGACGACGTTAGTTTTGTGATGTTGAATGACGAATTGAATCAGAACTATCGGCTTCATGAGAGGGTCAGAGTTGAAATAAAGAAAGCTATGCACAGTTTCCTTAAGCATCATTTTTTTTCTTTGGGATTTTACGTTTCTTGAAGATTTTACGTTTCTTGAAGATTATTTTCAGTGAGCGATCGTCTCGTTGTGCAATATTTTTTCTTGTCGGGATTTACCGATTCTTGTCAATTATTTTTAGTAGACCTACTATTAATTTGCGATCGCTGCAATCTTAAATTTTAGTTCTGAACTCAATCTATTAATGAAAAGAAAATATAAATAAAAAAAAGCTTCTGCATTGATTTTTTAGAATTATTTTTCATTTTATGCAATACAATTTAAAAAGGGTATTTTTTTTGTATGTAACTTTGCTTTATTTAATGCACTTAAGCATAACAATTTGATTATTTTTAAACCAATAAATCTTCAGCCGTTTTAAATTGTAAAAAAATTAAAACAAAGCCAATATTTATTTAATTTGCTTTTGAAAAAATTTGGCTGTTAATTATAAATTTTTTTTTTTTAAACTAAATAAAAAGCTAAGCTACGTTTTTGCACTTTTTAACTATATTACTTATAGTATTTTTTTCTTCTTAAAATTCTTTCAATGCTTGCTTGTTTCATAATTTGTTAGATAGTCAGTATCATTTTTAAACAAATAAATCTTTAGTCAATTTTATTTTCAAAAAAGAAAATAACAAAAAACGAATTTATTTTTACATTTACTAAGTATAGAACTTACCATTAGTTAATACAACTTTATTTTAAATAAATAAATTAAAGAAGTACTAACGATGTTTCAAAAGTACCGTTTTTTTCAACAAATAATTAAAAAAATGTTTCACTATAGTGAACATTTCTTTGGTTTGTTTTTCACTTTCGTTTTTTTCTTTCTTTTAATTTTTAATGCATATGTAAAATATTTTCTTACAGTTTTATTATTATTTTTAAAATAATAAATTTTAAGTCATTTTTAAATTAAAAAAAAATTAAAATTAAGCTTGGGTTTGTTTTTACTTTCATCAAAACATCTATATCATTTTAATGGAAAAAATGAAGCAATGCTGTTGATGTTATGGAAGCATTTTTTTAGAAATAACACTTTCTTTCGTTATAGATTTATTCCTTTTATTTACTTTTGATTGATTTAAAGATTTCTGATAGATAATTTTGGAACGTATGTTAAAGCGTGATACATCGCTTTATCTCGATGTCTAACACACGATGTATCACGATATTAAATTTCCTACATTGCCCAGTCCTTAATCATAAGTAATTCTGCAATAATTTGTTCGCATTTTGATATTTAATTTTTTTTTTTCAGCATTTGAAACTTTATGCTGACGCACAAAATTGTTCATTATAATACACATAATTAAAAATTTTTTTATATCCAGTGGAAATTTATAACACAATGCAATGATGCCAAATAAATTCATGTAAGAAGCTAAAACTGTAGATACCTTTTTGTTTCCAACAAGAATAATGGGCACATTTGGACAAAAATGTCTAACTTCAGGAGTCCATTTCTCAGGAATATTTTCTAAAGAATCTGGTGAATCTATGCTAAAGCACATCAGAATTACATCAGTATCTGGATAAGACAATGGCCTTAATCGGTCATAATCTTCTTGACCAGCTGTATCCCAAAGAGCAAGTTCTACCTGTAAGCATTAGATAAAACTAATTTTGCACAAAGAATGAAATTTAAAAACTGGTAGTCAATGAAAAATTTACATGATGAACAGGAATTTATAAATTCAGGATACACACACAAAAAAAAACTTTGGATACTTGAATGATGAAAATCTTAATTTTTAATATTACCTTTTTTGGGTGGGGAGAAAAATGCTAAACATTATTAAAAACAAAAATTATTGCAATTGATACTTATAAATCAGGATATTACATGCATCAGGATTTTATTCTATTTAATTTATTTCAACTACATAAAAAAGGGGGAGGAACAAATATACTGCATTGATTCTTTTATTACAAATGAAAATTAGCAACAAAATCCCCATTTGCAAATGGTGTCATTGTCTTAAGTGGATCAAATATTAACCTAATCACATAATATAAGTTTTAAAAAAGAATGGGGAAATAAAAATACATCTTTAAGGACTTTTTTAAATGCTCGAAAGTTTGAAATGACTTTTTATAATATCAATTTTACACACATGTTTTTGCCACAGCAATTTGAATCTTTCTAAAGCCAATAAATTAAAATTTCCCTCTGACTCTCCTACTTTTGGAAGTTAAGAACTTGTAAAAAAATAAAAGTATGCTTACCAACCTTTTTTCCCCCTGTCAGTTAATACCATAATTTCGCGCATTTTTATCGAATTTTTTAAATTTTCAATTTATGGAAATAAACGATTTTTGAAAGAATTAAAAATATTTTAAGATAGCAAAAATGGAACACTCTTTGTATTTTACCAAAATATTTTAATCTCAATATCACATAATATTAATATTATAAGAAAATCCAGTAATTTAGAATAATTTATGATACATCGGCAAAGTAAAAATAAAACGCCACATTTAGCTAAAAGTTCTGTAATAGTCTCTTCTGGTTCTGCTTCACTCGTTAAATGTCTATAAACTTCAACAAGCTTTTTCGGGACCAAAACTGTTTTGCAGTTTGGACTAAACAAATCCACATGTAGAAAACCTGCATTCAATAGCTGCTGAGCTTGCTGGACAACCAGCTAACTGAACCACAAAATGGGCAAATCATTCTGTATTCTATACCACACTTTCATTAAATAATGAGTGTGGATACACACTTGATCTTTTAGTCTGAAACACAGAACTAGAATCAGTCATTCAGCATTCTTCTTAGAAACCCAATCCTCTGCCCCTTTCCTCCTGTATTTAGAAAGTCTTTTTCCATTGTATTTCGGATTCAGCATATTAGCTAATAATTCGAAAGGAGTAAGGGCTTGATTACACTTCTTTTCAATTATTTTTTCATAAGTACTTAAGATTCTCATTGTCTGGCAGGTTAAAGTTCTGATTCTATGTCACTTTTCGAATTAAAAGTTGTGTGTGACAGATAAATAACAATTAAAGGCCATCTAATTTTTTGTATGTTAATAATGGTCAAACCTAAATTGTAAAAAATGAAAAAAGAAAAGCTACTGGTTTGGGAAGAATATTGGGTGTTTTTCTGATAGGATCACCTAACTATATTTTAAAATATATATAAGACAGAGTTTAAGTAAAATAAAATAAATTAATTGAAAAACATTTTGGCTATATCTCATCTAATAAAAATGAAATGAAGTGGTGAAAAAATTTAATTTGTTTGTTAACCTTTTTAAAATAAAACTTATCGTCCAATATTAACACTGTATGCTATTATAGATTCAGAAATAAAACTATATACTATGTAATAAAATTGTATACTAACATAATACAGCAGGGAACCGATTATCCGGAACGATCGAGACCATCGCTATTCCGGATAACTGATTTTTCCGGTTTTCTGAATCACTACAAAAAGCCGTTTTTATGGTTAAACCCAACTAAAAAAAAATTTTTTTTTTTTGGAAATAACCTTAAAAAGAAGAAAAAACGATGGAGTAATACACTAATGATTATTTCCAAAATGATGGTAAGGTAAACATCTTTCAAAAAAGAAAGAAAAATCCTAAAATCTTATGAGGAAAAATTTTTTTTTGTTTTTTTTTTTTAAAAAAAAATGGTGGGAAAATTTATCGAATTTCGTTCCGGTTTTATGGTTTTCTGATTTCCGGATAACGGGTTCTGTACTGTATATATATATATACCAAAAAAATTAAACCCTATAAAACCTAACTGGGTCGGGCTTTCTTTTTTTAAAAAAAAAAAAAAAAAAAAAACAAACCCTGCTTTATATATTTAATGAGCATAATATTTTATGACATACAAATATATAAACATTAAAATCTATTTTTTTTAGGCTTTAGCAGTCGCAAACACTTTTATAGAATATTCAATTCAATAATATTAATAATATAATATTCTCTTCAAAACCAGTTGTTTTTGCAATTTGCACATTAGGTATTGTTATAATTTGCATTCAATATGTCGTCATTTTGGTAAAACTATTTCGAAAATGAAGGAAAAAAACAATTTTGCAATGAGTGCAGTCATTATTTAAATACAGTAAAACTTTTGTAAGTTGACCACTAGTGGTGCATTGTTTTAGTGGTCAACTTATAGAGGGGGCGGGTCATTGTTTACTTTGTTTCCTATATCATGTTGCTATATATTTAAATTTATTTTTACTTGACTTAAATTTTATTTAGCAAATAGAATGAATATCTTAAGAAATGTGTTTAAACCTGAATGAACTTAACCCAACTAACTTTTTAAAAAAAATAATTTCATAAAATATCAGAACACGAAAACATGTAATTTGAAAAGTTTAACAAAATTATTTGAACACTTTAAAATTTATTCTGTTATTACTACACTTACAAACCTATTTGTTACAAAAATTATCCCTCATTGCTGTTTGGACCTGCAGTTTAGACTTTACATCAGCCCAATGTTTTGAATATAAGAAATGGTCAAAAGCTGACCCCCTACAGTTTCCCCAGATGGTCAACTCTCAAAAGGGTTTAGATTAGCTTTTTACACTATTTCACCAAACAAGTGAAATTTGAACATACATTGCAAAATGAAAGAAAATTTTCTGAATTTTTTTTTTCTGGTCAACTTATGAGGGTTTTAGAATAGAATTTCATAATACTCCTAGACAAAATTGACTTATTTCAGTGGTCAACAGAAGAGACAGGTGGTCAAGTTACAAAGGTTTTGCTTCTTTATATTATGTAGGAAAATTTTCATTCTTGATATTTGAGGTCATTTTTTGCAGGTGTCCAACTTACAAAGGTGGTCAACTTTGCAGGTTTCACAGTACTATATTTAGTGAAAATTCCTGATAATGAAAAGTTTTTTCTATATTTTTTAAACCTCCGTTTTTCTCAGGGATTTTCCGGTTTTTACAAGAAATTCAGAAAAAAACACACGCCTTTTCCGAACATTTTAAGGATTTTTTTTAATTCCCTGAGTTTTCTCAGTTGCGTATCAAACCTGGTTATACCTTTTTTTTTTGGGTTTATTAGACATTTTAAAATAATACAAAAGGTTCTTATTGAAGTTCATTATCTCAAATAGATAATTCAGTGGTTTTGGTTTGTTACAAAAAAGGTATACGAGTTTTATAAGAATAACAAGATTTTAATAAATAACAATAACATTACATTTGAATATCCTTGAAATAATTTTCATATAAAGGTTAAAGTTTTAGGTAAAACAATTTACAATAGTAAATCGAATCCAATGTTCAGAATTAAAAGTTTGTTTTATTTTGCAGGTGCAACAAACACCATCTGTAGATTTTACTGACTATCAAATGGTTTTCCTTCAGTTTTAAAAAGGAATCAATTATAAACTATGAAATCACTGACATAGAGGAAAGTTTTAAAGGCCGTGTGCAAACTATGCAGGAGTCCTCTGATTTGCACACCTATAAGAAAAAAAAACTTGAGAAAATACTTTGGTGACCTGAGATTCGACAAAAGTTTGAGGCTTAGGGCTAAAGCATAGGAAGTGAATGGTCTGCAGATAATAAATACTCATAAGATTCAAAAGACAGGGTTGCCACTCAAACCTGGAAAAAAAATTCCATGTGTTTTCCCTGTACATGTTATACGCATTATATTAAGAGGAAACAACAATTACTGTGCTCTTGTGTGAGCTATATTGGACTTACTATTTATTAGTTTCAATTGCTGGAAAAACAGCTGAAGATACTTAAAATAATACTATAGTAAATGAAATAGTTTAGAATAGCTGAAATATCATGGTTAAATATCCCATAGATTACGCTTTGAGTGGTCACAATTTTTTAAATGATCAAAATAAAAAAAACAAAATTCCCTGTATTTTCCCAGTTTGTAAAGAAAAATTCAAAATTCCCTGCATTTTCCCTGTTATTTTAGGTGATTTTTAAATTCCCTGTATTTTCCAGGTTTTCCCTGTAGAGTGGCAACCCTGAAAGAACTAGCAAATTTAAAGAAACCAAGAGAAATTAAAACTTATGAGAATGTAGTTATATGGGACAATAATCCTGGTGTGTAGTAATACAGAGGAATCAGAAATAAAACAGGTTATAGCTTCAAGGAACATATCAGGGGAGCAACGTAAAATCAGATGAAGAATCAAAGATATTGTTCAAAGTAAACACATGTAATATAACTCATAAAACGTCAGTAGTTATTAGTGCGACAAAAGTGTTAAGAACAATAAATAAAATTTTCCATTTGTCAACATCATGAAATTTCGAGATCACAAAATTTTTAGCGCCAGTCTTGAAGAGTAAATTTAAGTAGAATTTTTACTTGCCTGTTTGCCATCAACTTCAATGTCTGCTACATAGTTTTCAAATACAGTGGGAACATAGACTTCTGGAAATTGGTCTTTACTAAATACTATTAAGAGGCAAGTCTTACCACAGGCACCATCTCCAACAATGACAAGTTTTTTACGAATGGAAGCCATCTAAAATAAAATAAAAACTAACTTTGGTGGAAAAAACTTAAGAACTTAAAAAACAATATTGACTATTTGTATCACTTTAAGGTTGATTTATATATTTCACACAAGTTATTCATATGCAAATCCTTGCAATAGAAATCGATGTACAAACTGTTCCACGCCTGCACTGTTTAAACACAAAATATCCCGTATGGTAGGGATGCACAACCTGCAGCCCATGGATCACATGTGGCCCACCGACTATTGATGCGCCACCCGTGGGAGCTTCTGAACACAATGAATTTTTTTTTTAGAAAATTAAAATTTAATCGCACATTTGTTTAATATGATATTACAATACACGAATTTCGAATTACTAGTAATTTTTGATTTCGGATTAAAGTCTTACGAAGTTTTGATCGTTTTTTTTTTGGCATTTATAATTACCAATTTCTATGTGGTTTTTAAGTTTCCGATACATTTGTTACGATTTGTGAGTTTTAAATCGCGCATCTAGTTTATAATTTCCTGATATTCTTTATTTGTATCGATTTCATCATAAATTTACATTTTTTAAAGGCAGTCATTAACGGCTTTACCATGTGATCCAGTACTTTTATTACAAGCTTCAAAACACACATTTAAATAATAACGTTTTGACATGCTTCGCTTTTGCTCATTTAACCATAAATCCAAGTGACATTTAGAAAATTTTATGGCATTTGTAACTGCTAATTTCCATGCAGTTTATAAATTCCCGAACATTTATTACGACTCGCAAGTTATAGATCGTGAACTAACTGATAACTTTTAGGTATACTTTATTTGTGCTGATTTCATCAGGAAGTTCTTAGTGGTTTTCCCACCTGATTTTGAAAATCCTATAATTTCACTACGATGTTATTACATCACAAATTTCAAATCGCCCATTTAAATAATCACTTTTTTTACCTGCACTGTTTTTTCCAATATCATAATCCAAGCAACATATAGATTTTATTTTGGCATTTATAACTACCAATATCCACTTGGTTGGTTAATTAATTCCCAAAACATTTATTACGACATTAGTCATAAATAGCGTATCTAGTTTATCACATGTGCTTTAATCGTGCCAATTTAATTTTTTTTAAAACAAAGTTATTGCAGTGTTTCTGAAAATCTCATAGTTTTATTACAATGTTATTACAACAAGCAAATTTCAAATTACATTTATGACTCGTGTGAGTGATAAATCACATATTTAATTTATCACTTTTTGCAGAACATAATTTGTGCCGATTGCAATGTAAATCCAAGTTGTTTTTCAATAACTTTTACTACAGTTTTTGCGAAATTCCCGTAGTTTTAGACATTTTCAATAATTACTTATCGACACGCTTTACTCATGCTAATTTTACAGTTATTTAATAATTTTTTTAAAAAAAAAATATTGCGATGCTTTTCTTTGTGATTCTTACAATCCCGTTACTTTAACTATGCTGTTAATATGACACACGAATTTCTAATCGCAAATCAAAATAATCACCAATTGATACAATTTATTTGTACATACATTACATATTTCGCCATTAATATAAGTTATTTTTTCATCGCTCCTGTAGGTGGCAAAAAAGGTACAGCAACATGGTATTCAGAATCCCGATATTAAAATACAATTTTATTGAGCAAAATTCAAGAACTTGAGAAAAACGAGAGTTCTTAAACTGCTTACTGTTTGCAATTTAATTTGTCTTGTATTGTTTATTTGTTTGTAAGTTTTTTTTAAAGAAAACATTAAAGAGAACAGAAATAATATCTGAAAATTAATAGTAAATAAATATAGAATTTTTTTTCGGTACTATAATGGATTCGTTTTAATTTTTGGTTTTTGTTCAAACATTATAAATTTTCTTTAATAAAAAAATTTAATTCGAATTTATATTACTCTATAAAATGAGCATAGATATATTTTTTGCACTTTCATTCTGTAAGCTCAACAGTTTTATTTTTCTTTGAATGGAATTTATATCCCTTTCCCAGATTCTTGCATTTTCTCAACATGTTTATATCAAAACATAATATTTGAAGTAAAATATTAGGATACTAAACAAAATTTTCAACATTTCCAAGCATCACTTTGTTTGGCATATTACATTACTGAAGAATGTCAAGATTGATTACTTTCATTCATAAAATCTTGCTTTGAGAAACACATGTACACATAAAAAGAAAGCCTCATAAAATAAACTTTTCTTATCATTTTTGTTTTCAATATTTTACACAGAAATGAGACATGAAAAAGCCTGGGAAATCCTTTTAGAGTTTCCTTGCAACANCTTAAACTTTTGTTATTTTCAACTCTTTTTATTTAGTTTGTCATTGTTGTCAATACATAGATTTATATGGGAAAGGAAAAATAGCCATCACACCCCCTTGTTGCACTTGTCTTTGAAAGTTTGCAGTTACTTCACTATCATAATTATTATTAATCATTTTAATTATTAAATCATAACTACAGACACTTAAAAACATACATTTACTATTTTATTAACATATACATGCATTTTAAATAAATTACTAAGCTAATTAGCTCATTAACTCGATATATATATTAATTTATTAATAAAAATTAGTAATTAATATGATTGCTTTGCTACTTTTAGAAAAGTAAAAAAATATATAATTGACAATGCTTTTTAATAGAACGTGTAAAGCCCATAGAAAGAAATTATTGCCTTTTTAGAATAATAATGCCCTTTTTTTAAACTTTTGCACCCTGCCCTTTTTTCTTCCTAGAATGAGCACTGCAATATTTTACACAGAAATGAGACATGAAAAAGCCTGGGAAATCCTTTTAGAGTTTCCTTGCAACATTGCAATAACCTTTTGTTATCATTATCCTCAATGACAGGCTTCCATTGACAGAATCTTCTCGAATTTTGGACTCATCCATACTAAACTCTAGTCACTTGCTATCGTATGCTTCGGTACCGTGACCCCGACTACTGAACATGTAAGTTTGTTTTTAATTAAGTTTTGCTTAATATGCTTTTTCAACTGAATAAAAGCTTTTAACTTGACGAAATAGCAGTAATTCTTGACTTAGAAAGTGCTTACTTATTAGTACTTACAAGTTTTGAAAGTTTATTTTAGCTTATTTCTAATATTTAAGAAATGCCAAATTTTAAATTATTCTTTTTAGTTCTTGAATTTATTAATAGTTCCGAGCTTTTTTGTTTGTTTATTTCTAACAATTAAGAAGTGCAAAATTTTGAATCATTTGCAAAACAAGCTATAATGATAAAAGTAAGTATCACTATTTTTAATAAGCATATTACAATATTACTGTATGAATGTATATCCTTCTATAACAGCGTTTCCCAAACTTATGACTTTTATGTACCCTTTCTAAATTTTTCGTAACGCTGTGTACCACTAATAAAAAAAAATTTATGTAGTTTTTACTATAAAAAAATTGCCCGAAAGTTAAAAATCACAACTGGCTATTGACCCTACTGATTATTAACTGCTAACTCTGCAAAAAAGAGCCAAATTAGAAAAATACGTAATCGTAAATTTTCATGGCCAGCTTTGTTTCCAGGTAAAATTTTTTTAAAATTTTCGTTTGTTGCAAGATATTTCGCAGAAGAACCCGTACCCCCACTAAACTGTTCCCGTACCCCTGGGGGTACGCGTACCACACTTTGGGAAACACTGTTCTATACATGTATATAGTTGCATACATGTATATAGTTGCAAAATCAATAGCAATCATTTACAACATTCATTTATAAGGGCAATTATGTGAAAATAATATATTGTCCGCTATATGCCATAAATATAAGAAAACAGTAGGTTTTTGACAGTTTTTACCCGTAAAAAAAAAAAGGTTTTTACCACTGTCCTGTCAAAAACCAGTTTTTGACGGCAAAAACACAACCCTATTGTTAATATATAAGTGTATTAATTTTAAATAGTAAGAGTCATGTTAAAAAGTATTGGCCATACAGAGTTGTAAACAAGTATCTCAATAGTTTTTAATTAAGGAAAATAGTTCCTTCAAAATTAATGTTTGTTTCTTTTCCTCTCTCAACCCCTGCTTCTTATAATGTTTTAAAGTTAAAGTAAATTCCCTACTATATGTTGAATCTTAATTTCCACTGAACGGGTTTTGTTTCAATTTTAATAATTTTTAACTCTATAAACTTTCTTTAAATCAAGTATTTAACTTGAATTTATTTTAATAACTAAAATATTTATTTATTAATAAATTTAATTCTATGAACTAATTTTTTAATATCAAAATTTATGTTCAAATCGACTTTCATATTATGTAATATGATAGAAAAAAAACATGAATTTTTTTTTATGCAAACATATTACAAAGTTAACTGACAAAAAGAATTTAGTGCCTAGAACAATGATGTTTCGATAACAATTACTACCTACCAGGGCCGGATTAACCTATAGGCACACTAGGCACGTGCCTAGGGCCTACGAAATTCAGGGGCCTACGAAAAACTTGGGAGAAAAAAATTTGTTGACAAAAATAATTTAGCTTTAAAAACAACAAGTGTATTTTGCACAAAATTATGAAGATACAAATAAAAATATAATATTTTTCGGTAATAAATTATTTTGCAGAATCTTATGATCTAATATATTACTTTTTTGCGATTTTTGGATTCAACGAAATCTTGTATTATGCTGTCGAATTCCAAACTACGCAAAATGTCGTATTCAATAGACATAAGTGCGAGCGATGCCAAACGATCTTGATTCATTGTTGAACGCAAATAATTTGTTATAAATTTTAATCTGGAGAAAGATCTTTCTCCTTCTGCATTTGATCCAAGAATCGACAAATATATTCTTAATGCAATGTGAACGTTAGGATAAGTATTCACAAGCTTTTCTTTAATTTGAGCCTTCAACATTTCCTGTGCAGATTTATGTTCATATAAATTAGAAAATAGTAAAAATTCATCTAAAAAGTTTTTCTCTAAATCGGATGAGTAAATTTTCACCAAATTTTGCGCTTTTAGTTTAATCTCAGATTCTGACAAATTTTTGCGTAATTTCCTTGTAATTCGGGTTCGATAAAACATCGATTAATGACACTTTTTGGTCGATCCAGAAAACTGGGAAATTCAGACATCCGGGATAGCGATGGTCCCGAGCATCCCAGATAATTGGTTCTCTACTGTATAAATATTTCTTGTAATTAATCTCACTATCAATTTCACTGTTTTCTTTGCTGGTTTGTTGTTGTATTGTTGACGTGAAGTGTTTACATAGTTATCGATCGAACTAATCATAATGGTATTATCGATATCAACTGCAATATCGGCAGTATGTTGGTATTACAGATAAAGTTCAGTAAACAAATTCGTAAATTAAAATTCATATTAATAAAAATGCAAAAAAAAAATATGCAAGAAAATTTTAGCATATATTTTGAAAAGAGGGGAGGAGTGGGGGAAGAAGGGGAGGGCCCAAAAACGGCTATGCCTAGGGCCTACGAAAGGTATAATCCGGCTCTGCTACCTACAATTGCTGTCAACATGTTTGTCTAAATATTATGGCATGCGGCCCTCCATTGATCAATCTGCTGTGCATGTGGCCCTTCAGTCAAAAAGGTTGAGCACCCCTACATTAGTTTAAAAAATGATTATCAAGTATTTCTCGACAAATAAGAAAAAACTAGCTAGTATAGAAGTGTTTCCATAATTTTGTTCAACCACTGTATATATCAGATATATTAAATTTTAAAAAAGCCTATCATGAATAGATCCTTTTAAGGAATAAATTACTTTTTCTCTGGAAGGGGAATAATGATTCGGATACAAATGTTTCTATTAAAATTATGATGCATCACTACTTATTGTATACGTATTAAACATATAAATTCTTACAATAAATTATAAATATTTAGAAGTATTATACAACTTTCATGACTTTATCGGCAAACATTAGTTTTCAACACTATCATACTTTTACGCATTAAACATGGGTGTAGAGCAATTTAGTTGATATAATGAATATAAATTAAATAGTTCAAACAGTCAGTGAATTTTAAATATTTTATAATATGCACATAGAGTAACATCCTTTCTATTTTGAGCTTATGAACTGAGGCATTCATTGATGCCTAACAGAGCCCAAAGTATTAATCATTTGATATTATGAAACTGTACCAAGTAAAACATGGTAAATAGTAGATGAAAATATTGTAGAATACTTAAAAAAAATCAGGAAATTGTCTTCTTTAAAAAAAATTTTTTTTTTAATGTAGAGTTAAACAAAATATTAGATTGTCCCAAAATGCACAATTTATTAGATCAAAATGCACAATTTATTAGACAGTGTTCACAAATATATAAAAAAAAGTTCAAATCCTTAAAACCTCTCCCAGGTTAGACATATCAATTTATACATTGAAATGCCTCAAGATCATAACTTTCAATTGAAAACAATTACATAGTAAAATTGAAATATTTTTTTGAAACCAAAAGTTGACTATTCAATAACAAATTTACTTAGCTATTTAGACTCTAAGTCAATACAATAACAAAACAGTTGCAATTTAAAACTGCTTAGAGAAGAATAATGAATAAAACATGTAAACATAAATAGTAACTTAAAAGTAGTTACAAGCATTTTAAGTCAAACAATAATTAAAACAATGAACAAAAACCACTGATTTTTAGGTTTAATTTTCAGGTATTTATTTTAAATATTTAGCACAAATAATGCATGTATAACTGATTCCTGTAGATGATGAAATTTAAAAACCAATATCTCGAAGTTATTGCTAATTAATAATTAAGTATTGATTGACTTACGAAGTTTTTGTATTCGGGGCCAGATTAAATTCAAAATAGAAAGTTAATAATGAGAAACAAACAAACGATACGAACTTGGATTACGCTCAGTATCCAAATAAAAACAAAGAACCGACAAGACAGCTGAACAGTTACATACGTTTCCTTCGTATCTAGGGTTACGAATATGCAGTCATCAAACACAGTAGTTGAAACGAAATTGAAAATATATTACAACTTAGCACAAACCAGGAATTTAAAATCCTTTTTATTTCGTATCCTTAAACACAAAATAAACAAACTATTAATATAAAATTTGACTTACTTCTATTTCAGAATGACCACACCTCTATTATGCATCTGGGAATGGTCGCGCAATCACTTAGGAATGCATACTGTGACGTCACATATCAAGTTTTAAACTTTTATTTTGATTTAATTTCAAATATTACGAAATAAACAATTTATAACCGATCAAATAACTTTTAGAAAGGGTATAGATATAATTTAGGAGAATACTTTAAAGTATTTACAATACTATAAACTCGAAATTGTAGCCAAGATGTAATGTTTTCAATGGCAACGACAGGAATGAGCAGGTAAATAGTAACCCGCTAAAAAAGAAGTAAAATGTTTCTTCGTCTTTTGGCAACAACCAAATTAATTGCATGGGTTACTTTAGTTCGGCTTTTTTTCCGTGATTGGCAGATTTCTCCATACAGCTAAGATAAATTAAACTATACCAGCAGTTCCTAAATGGTGTTCCGCTGACCCCTAGAGTTCCATGGAAAGGTCATAGGGGCTCCGTGAATTGGGACTTTTTTTAACCAGTAATAATTTTTGTATCCAACCAATTATCCATTATTTATTTGAAGAGATTAGTGGAAGAACCGGTTAACCCTTACGAAAATGTAAGGTATATTTGAGGTATTTTTGAGATATTGAGGTTGTTTTGAGGTATATTTAAGGTTGCTGAGAAAACAGCAGTAAAAATTATACCTCGCAAAGGTTGTAATTAAGGTATACGAGGTTTGTTTTATATACACTTCAGCTCATTTTGAGGTTGTTTAAAATTCACTTCAAATCAACCAGACTGATGAGGTGATTTTCAAGGTATACAAGTTGTTTTCTGATACTTATAACGAAATACGTATTTATGAGGTATAAAAATTTTTACCTTGTTTCAACTAAGTAGAGTGAGGTATTTATTGAGGTACATGAAGTCACATTTTATTTATACCTAAGCTTATTTTGAGGTTGTTTTAAATTCACTTCAAATCAACCAGACTGATGAGGTAATTTCTAAGGCATACCAGGTTATTTTTCTGATATTTGTAACAAGAGGTATTTATGAGGTATTAAAAAATTAACCTTATTTCAGCGAACGAGAGTGAGGTATTTACGAAGTATCAAAAAATATACCTTATTTTAAACAAAAAAGAGTGAGGTATTTATTGAGGCCTATGAAGTCATTTTATTTATACCTAAGATTATTTTGAGGTTGTTTTAAATTCATTTCATATCAACCAAATTGATGAGGTGAATTCTAAGGTATACAACGTTATTTTTTTGATACTTGTAACAAAAGAGGTATTTATGAGGTATAAAAAAATTACCTTATTTCAACTAAAGAGATTGAGGTATTTATTGAGGTGTATGAAGTCATTTCATATCAACCAGACTGATAAAGTGATTTCTAAAGTAGACCAGGTTGATTTTCTGATGCTTGTAACGAAAGAGGTATTTATGAGGTGTAAAAATTTCACGTTATTTCAACGAGTGTGTGAACGAGTATTTATTGAGGTGAATGAAGTCACACACAAACACACACACACTCGCTCACACATTCGTTCACACAATCGCTCACACACTCGCTCTCACACTTGCTCAAACACTCGCTCTGTTGCGATACAGCTAGCGCCATCTGAGGAAAATATTTTCAACTACCATTATTATTATTCTATAACTTTTCTGGAAACCGCCAACGGCGGATGTAAAATTATTTGCTCTTTGTTATTAAAAGTTTTGTTTTGTTATTAAGCCCTTGTGTGCTTGTCTCATTTGTTATTTTACAATGAGTGTATAATATGCCATTTTTCCCAGTCTCGAATATAATTAAATCGGGTAGATTTTATCGGATAACCCCATCTTTTATATTTAAAAATAGTATTGTTAAATAACTGGCGCCCGAACAGGGACCCGATATTTGATATATTAATTTCGAGACTGAATTTTTCTGAACTGTGCTAATATGGAACTAATTCAATTAAAAGCGAAAAGAAAAGGACTAAGAACTTCTTTTTCGCTATGTGTGAAAAATATTGAAGACGTGCTCAATGTTGCTGAATTGGATACTAAGGAAAGTAATATAAAAACGCTTTCGATTTACGAGCTACAATTGAAGGACAAATTTGAGCGGTTGGCAAACTGCCAAGAGGAAGTTTCTAATTGTATTCTTCTCTTGGAAAATGCCGACACAGAATATGAGTCGGACTTTGAAAAAGCGGAGGAATATCGTGACAAATATCACGAAATTTGTTCCAAATTAACTGAACATTTAAGTAAAACAGATGTAGTTCAAAGAAAATATAAACTCCCACAGATTGAGCTACGTAAATTTAGTGGTGAATTAAAAGATTTCTTAGGCTTTTGGAGCCAATATGAAAAAATTCATTCCGACGAAACTTTGTCGAAGGAGGATAAGTTTCAGTATTTGTTGTCGTCTTTAGAGCCGCAGTCAAAAGCGGCCCGGGTTGTCGGCAGCTTCCCTGCAACGGCTAAGAACTACGATAAAGCCATTGAACAGTTAAAAGAGCGTTTCGGACGGACAGATTTACTGGTGCAAGTTTATGTCCGGGACTTATTATCACTTGTAATGAAAAATGCTATATCTGGTCGATCCAAAACTGATTTACCTGCATTGTACGATGAATTGGAAGGAAAGATACGGGCCTTGGAAAGCCTAGGGCGTACACAGAGCAATTACGGAGATTTTCTAATGCCACTAGTAGAATCTTCTTTGCCGGAGACTGTTTTGATTGCATACGAAAGAAGTCGTTCTTCTGACCAAGGGGAAAGATCTTTGCAAAAATTAATGAACTTTTTACAGCAAGAGGTGAAGGGTGAGGAGCTTGTCGTCCTCGCTCGGGCTGGATTTGGAACCTCTACTAAGAAGAAAGAGCCTGTTGTAGAGAAAATGGATTTATCTACCACAGCTGCATTGGTAAGCACTACGCCTGATAATACAGGTAAGATCAATTTTATCTGTCTCTTTTGCGGGAAAAAGCACCTTTCCCAAGATTGCTATTTTGCTCGAAAGCTAAGTTTAGAAGAAAGGAGAAAGGTAATTTACAACAAAAAAGCTTGCGTCTCCTGTCTTAAATTGGGACATACTGCTCGTACATGTAGGATGAAGATTAGATGCATTATTTGTAATAAAAATCATTTTATTTTGATGTGTCCTGATCGAGAAATGAAGAACAATGAACCTAAAACTGAGGAAGTGTCATCTTTAGCCAATAGCAGTGCCCCTGCTTATGATTTTAAAACTGTTTTTCTTATGACTCTGATAGTAAAAGTTAAAAATAAGAAAAGTGAGTGTAATATACGGGCCATTTTAGATACTGGCTCGCAGCGCTCATATTTGAGTACTAAAATTGTTAAAAAATTGTGTTTGAAACCCAAGGGTAAACAAACACTTATTCATGGTTTATTTGGAGGTAACGAAACCAAACCTAAAGACCATGAGTGGTTCATGATTAAAGTTTATAATTTGGAAAACACTTTTTGTTTTAAACTAGAAGTCCTCTCTGAAGAAAAAATTTGTGGTTTTGTTCCTCGAGCTAACGATTCTGTTACGCTAAAAGAATTGCAACAAAGAAACATAGATATTCACGATGTTAATTTTAATGATTCTGAAATAGATCTGCTTCTTGGAGCAGACATTACCTCTAAATTGTTTACTGGTAAATCAATAGCATTAAAATCAGGTTTAATGGTTGTTCAGACAAAACTTGGTAATACTCTTACTGGTAAAATAAATAATGTTTATGCAGATATAAATAATGGTAAATCAATATCTGTTGATTCCAATTGTATCCTATGTGATAATGTATGTGTATTGCATTCAGTAACTTTAAATGTAAATAAGCTTTGGGATCTCGATGTAATAGGTATTAGAGACCCATATGATAATTCTAAACAGAGATTAATGTTTTCGGAAGCTATTGAGCAGTATAAAGATAACTTAACTATTCTTCCGAATGGAAGATATGAACTTTTACTTCCATTTAAAAGTGAAACTACTTTGCTTGATAACAAACAGTTAACTTTAAAGCGTCACTTGAATATGTGTAAACGCTCTTTAGCAAATGGTTATTTGAATGATTATATCAATGTTTTTAAAAACTGGCAGGAGATAAATATTATAGAAAAGGTTCCTGAAAGTGAAATTAATGAACCTTGCCATTATTTGCCCCATCGTCCTGTCATCAAACAATCTAGCGAGACATTTAAATTGCGTCCAGTATTTGATGCCTCAGCCAAACAGTGCAATCAACCATCTTTAAATGACTGTTTGGTCAAAGGCCCAAATTTGATCGAATTGATTCCTGATATTATTGACAGGTTTAGATTATTTCCAATAGGTCTTTCTTCTGATATAGAAAAAGCCTTTTTGCAGCTAAGCATATCCCCTCAGCACCGAGATTTTTTACGATTTTTCTTTCCATCTGAGACAGGTGATCCCATTGCTTATAGACACTGTAGAGTTGTGTTTGGTGTGACCACGAGTCCCTTTTTACTAATGGCTTCTTTAAGTCATCTCCTGGAGAACGCTTCCGATGAATTTTCCGATGTTGTTCCCAAGCTCCGACATGCTTTTTACGTCGACAATTGCGTCACGGGAGTTAACACTGTCACAGAATTAGAAAACTTTATTATTAAGACTCAAAAATTAATGAAAACAGCTTGTTTTAATTTGCGAGGTTGGGAAGGTAATATAGCAAATCCTCTTTTATCCAAGTCTTCTGGTGATACTTCCTTACTGGGTATTAAGTGGAATTTGGATCGAGATACTTTACGATGCAACTTTACTAATGATTTAGATCGTAACGAAACATTTACAAAAAGAACTGTATTATCGTATGTGCAGCGGTTTTTCGATCCTTTTAACGAAGGTACAAACTGCGGCGGAATTTGTTACTGGAGAAATTATGTATTATTTGTAAGTGAATACGGAATCGGGCATTCGTACACAGAGTTCGTGAGTTCGATCCCAGGCCGGCCGAAGACTCCCCGTGTGGTGACTGATGCACTTTAAATCTATCGGGTTGCAAAGTCCTCCATGTTCCTATAACACATCTCTACCCCTGGAGCTACTGATCCAGGAGTTCCCTCTTCTTCTGGATTGATGCAAAATGACAAGGCTCTGGAGTTGAACATTTGTAGTCGTGAAGGGACCGGGTTTCAATCCCAGCGATGGCTGGTCCATACGAATTCCGCATACAGCTCGCAACGACCACAGTGTTGACGTGAAATATCCTCAGTGGTAGACGGATTATGTGTGGGAGTTCCCTTGTTGTCAGGCTAACCGTGGGATGTTTTCATGGTTTTCCTCCCCATCTAACGCAAGTGCGGATTAGTTCATTGAAAAAGTCTCCCAAAAAGGCGAATTTCTCCCAATCTTCTGGATTGGGTTTAAAGTAACAATGCTACGGAGTTGAACATCAGCAGTCGCAAACCCGAAAAATTAGGTTCAACGACGGGTATAGAATAAAATAAAATAAAATTTTTGTGAACTGCGTTAACTGATTTTCTATGCTCTTTCCTTCCTTTAATTCGATTTCTCTTTATGCTACGAATTTGTTCGATTTAAGAATTAGTTTGTATTCGAAAAATAATGCTTTTTGCTGCATTCGAGTCTCTTCTTCGTTTAGATCAGGAGTTTCCAACTCACATGAGGCCGCAATTAAAAACACCAGTCAAATGGCGGGCCGCTACTTTATCAAAATTTTACATAGGTTTCTTTCTATGTTTGAAGGAACATTAAATATTACTGTCGGAATTTCATCAAGTTGTACAAAACTAAAATATTTAGATATTGATTTTGAGACTTCTTTTGATAAGGATTCCACCTATATCGTACATGCTTACAATCGTTTTCGTTTCTTTTTCGCTTAAAATGCTTATTTACCACTCCTTGCCACTTTTCTAAATGAAAGTTCTAAAAGTACATCGATTGAGGACATTCGATACATTTCGAACGCATTCTTGTCTTCGCCTCGTTTAAATACAGTCAGACTTCTATTTAACGAAATTCCATTTAGCGAATTTCTCTAATTTTGGGTTTAGTTTTTTTTTTTTGAGGAACCAAGAACATTTTGGAAATTTATTCGTGAAATAGCGACTTCCAAATAGCGAAATGAATTTTCTATTGAACGAACGTTTCCTTGAGCTCTAATTTCTCTATTTCCCAAAATATTTTAGAACATTTTAAACTCTTTAACGCATTTTATGGACGTAGTGACCTCTTACTGATTTTCGAAGTCATTTCACTTTTAGAGAAAGCAGTAAAAGCCCTTTCCCTTTTTGTTTGCATTTCAAACGAAAAACTCATACAGAATTAAGGGATTTTATCCGTAGCAATTAAACTTAAGAACGCATGTGATAATATAGGTTTAAAATTACTTTAATAATAAATGCAGCTACAATTTTATGCATAAATTTAGCTTTTTTTAGTTGAAAAATGTATGTAGCATGATAGTGTGACACTTTATAATCTTTTGCCCTGTTCTTGCTATCCATGCAGATTTCCTTCATGATTAAGATTTATAAAATAAATAGTAGATACTAGTTTACAATATGAAGGTGTATCCATTACTATTTTAATTATGTCTAGTGTTTATGAATTTGCAACCTGTTTTGTCTTGTTTAAGTATTTCAAAAGGGGATTTCCTATTTAACGAATTTTCCATACAACAAACTTATTATCAGGATTTAGCGTCTTCGTTAAATGGAGGTCCAACTGTTTGCTGCTCCTGAAGTCTTTTTGTTTTCTTGTAAGCAAAGGGAAAGTGATCTAAGTATATGCGTAGAACAATAATGGCAATTCTTATTAATTGTTTCACCATAGTAACAGTAATTGAATATTCGGTAACAAGTTCCCTCCCCCCCCTCCCTACCAAACACGCATTGAATTGATCAAATCATATGAAGGCCACACAGATTAAATGATGGCAGCAAAAAAAGGCCGATATACATCAAAGAAACCGGCTCTATTATAAGGCGTTCCTAATCGTCATCATATATTAATCCAAAAGTAGCACATTTCCTGTAACACTTCAAAAGTGCTTTTGAGGTTTCGCCGATTATTTCTAGAATTACTAAAAATCAAATGGGAGATAGAAGTTCTTTCAATGTTTAAGAAGTAAACAATCTTTCCGATCCACAGTGGGCCAGCAACCAAGATTTCGTGGCCAAAATTAGTATTCGATAAAATTTGCTTCAAAATTTAGTTTTTTTTTTTATTTAGGGGTTTTTATCTGCAGGTAAATTGAATTTATAGTTAAAATTTTGAAATACACTAAAAATAACCCAAAAACAAAACAAAATGGCTGCTGAAATATGGCGAACAAAAAATAAAAATATGATATAATTAAATATTTATTTATTTATTAATTTTTTTTAATGACGGACAATTGGAACTATTGTCCATTGGCCACAGAAAGTGCCAGAACTGCTAACTCTTTTCGTTACCCAGTGGGCACCCGCGGCGAAGCCACGGTGGTGGAGCAGCGTCGCCCACGTCACACAACCAGAACTCGTTTATAGGGCGGGTAACACTCACACACAAAGGAAAAAGGACATAGAACACAGATAGAGAGAAAGAAGCATCCATGCCTTGTCCGGGATTCGAACCCAGAACCTTTCTGATGCAAGGATAGTTCCCTGCCCCCTACACAGGCCGGTCGGCACATAATTAAATATAGCAATGAAAATATAATAATTTTCGTCATTTCATAATAAAAATGAAAAGCAAATTATATTTCCGAAGTAATATTACAAAATAACGCGAATAAATTACAAAATAGCGCTAAAACATGAAAAAAAAAAACACACAATTTTTGTTTTTCGGTATATTGAGCCCACCTTTGCCATACGGGCAAAATGGGGGCAGGTTTTTTCGAAAGACGAAACATCAGAGAAGACAACAAAAAAAAAGTTTAGCTAATTGCCTCGTGGAACTTTTTCTGGAACTGTTTTTAAAGTGAAAACAGTTTAAAAATATTGCTAAGTCTAAATTGCCTCAAAATATTTCCAAGTTCAAACAAAATCAGAATATTTCAAAATTCAAACACCAAAAAAATTATTCAATGTAAAAAAAAAAAGAAATAAAACTTCATAATTTAAAAATAACTTATCAACTTCATAACTTATTATCCCACAAAATATAAGGATGAAGCCCAAAACGCTTAAAAATTGAAAGATTAAATCTTCGAATGAATGTTCATTAATAAACAATTGAAAATGGGATTGCAAGGTGATATATTTTTTTTGTTGTTGGTAAAATTAAAAGGATACTCGTAGATGCGCGGTATTTGCTTACCTTTATTGGCTAAAATAATCCCATTAGAAATGAGCTACCTTAATCTAATTTCTAATCTCCTTTTCTCTTTGCTTTGCAGTGACTATTTTTTTACCCCCCTTTGTCAAAATTCAAACGAAACAAAACGTGTCAGTTTGTCGTTTCAAATTACATAATCACTTTCATTTTCCGTCCGAACCAAACGACGGTACCCTGGCTGGAAAAGGGGGGAAAAACACAACTTTTTAAAATTGAATTAGTATAAGGTGTTTGGCAACAAAGGTCCGAAGTATACTGCGCATTCAATTATTTTTTACTAGTTCAAAGATCACAAAGCTATCTGAAACCCCCTGTTTGGTTTGTTTATGTTTGTGCTTTTAAAACGCGTTTCTAAAGAGTAAAACAATTTTAAATCAATGGTAATTTAAATAAATAAAAATAATAACCTAAAAATTAAGATCAATAGATAAAATTTATTTTTCGTGTAACTCTATAAAAAGTTTGATTTTAAAATTATATTATACGATTATATTTTAAAATTATATTATACGATTATATTATAAAATTATATTATAACATTCTTCCGAATTTAAAAATAAATTAATATTCACAACTTTCAAAATTAAAAATAATTAAATAAATAACAACAATTTTGCAAAAACATTAAAGAACATAAGAATATTATTCAATAAAATTTTTGGTTATTTTGAATTTTCGATTTCCTAGAAATGTACTTTTAAATCGTTACTTTTTTTGTTTAGTACTTGTACTTTTTACTCGTTACTTTTTAAAATAAGAACTTTTTACTTTTAACTCGTTACTTTTTTAAAAAATACTTGAACTTTTACTCGTTACTTTTTAAAAGTAACTATGAATAAATACAAATAGGAGGTTTATAAAAGAATAAAATCCCATTGCATGTATGTTTAAATATAAGGCACACAAACTCGTGCCAAAACATTCAATTATTAAAACATTATAGTGCGTAAAATAATTTGGTTTAATTAATAATAATGTACTAATATAATACCTAATATAATAAATATTATATATTTATATGATATAACGTCTAATTTATTCAATTTATATTATGTATCATCTAATTTAACCCCTATTGATAGACTAACGTAAACAAGGGTTTCAGTGGCGTGAAAACAATAAAGCATGGAATCTTATAGTGCGTCTAATAATGTTGACAAGGACTGAACATTGTATCGGGATTATATTTGAATAAACAAGTTTTCCAGTTGTGTTCCTGAATGCGATAGATGCGACTTATTATGAAAAAGTGGTTATCATTTCGGGCCGTTATCAGTTAGTGGTTATCATCCATTAGAATCTTTTATTGTTGGCACACAACTACTACTGTGATTTAATATAGTTTTTGCTTCAACGAAAACAAGGAGAAAAAAACCCGCAAAAAAAAAAATAATTTAAATAGCATAAAAAACTGTGTAGTACGTAAATGCAATTCTTCTGATGCGCGTTTCTTCCTTTTCTGTTCAATTATTTAACCAACAAAAGTTCTTTTGTTCTCTCTGTGTATTCCGCGGGACTTGAATTAATCATAATATCACCCTTTT